TGGTTTATTTTTCAAAATTTCACTGACATAAAATTCACCCCTCAGCCATTCCTATCATTAAATCTCATTCAATCATCACTACAATAAATTCTAGGACATTTTGCCTTCCTTTTACTCATTATTGCTAACTACCCATTTCTTACCAGTCTCCCCTGTCAAATCCCTTTGAGTCTATTGATCCACTTGTTGTCTCTATAGGTTTACTTAATCTGTCCTTGGCCATTTTTAATTGGGTTATTTCTCATTTCATTATTAAGTTTTCATAGTTATTTATGTTTTCAGGGACAATTTGCAAAATTTGCAAAAAATGTCTCCCATTCCGTGTATATCTCATTCTTTTTTTTTTGATAGTATGCTTTTGAAATTTTCCTTATGTTGAGTTTATCATTTTTAACAAATTGTTGCTTATGTTTTTTTAATGTCATAGCCAAGAAACCACAGCCTGATCCAATGTGTAAGAAATGGTGTGGGGTTAGCATCTTCCCCCTTTGGATTTCCAAGGGGGACGGAAAATCCACTTCCAAATCAGTGCAGCCTGGATTTCTGTGAGGCAGGGCTCAGCCATGCCTCCATCCTTTTCCCTGTGTTTTCAGTTCTGACACACTGCCACAGCACTCTCTGCTTCTAAGCTGGATTTGATCATTCATTGCAGTTGGTCACACAGACCTCCCAGACCAGGTTCACACTTATGGGATTTATTAGGGAAATGAATAGGTTATAATTCAGGGTCAGAAATACTCAGGCAACATTTTTCCAGTTAGAACAATCTCATCTTAGCCGTGCGTGCAGGCCTGCTCTCTCTGGTGCTTGCCCTTTCAACCACGTGACATGCTGGACTTTGCCCTACTTAGACAACATTGTAAGGCACTCAGCACTGATGATTGATGTTAAAATAATATGCCACTGCACCATAAGCTTCAGGTGTTTAGCTCTAGCTCTGTGGGTCAGCAAAACTACCTCCTCCTATTAAGTGCCTGAAGGCAACCCACTCCACAAGAAAGCCTTTTGTCCGAAGTCACTAACTTTATTCACTCACTCCATAGGCTGGTCAGCCCACCACTCTGTCTCCTATCTCATGATCTGTTGCTGCCACTCCTCTGGGATCACAGCTCTGTTTCCTGGATTTCCAGGCCCAAAGGGCGTGCACTACTCCTGGCTATTCTTTCTTCATGCTTCTGAGATGGCTCATTTTATACCCACCAAGAAGGGAAAACTGGCCAGTTCACATTTTAGCGTTCCAATCTGATACAATCATAATTCACTTTGTTAATTTTCTCTCACGCAATCTCCATCAGCATCTTCCCCCATCTTCTTTTATCCAGGCCACCAGGAAAAGACTTGGTTGGTGGAAGTTACAAAGACCAAGGCTAGGAGAAGCATATTCAATAATTTACCCTACTGCAGAAGGTAATACATATCTTAGCTTATAGCTTTAGCTTCTAACACTAAATTCTTAATCTGAGTTAAGTGTTGCTAATCTATGATTGTTGATGGTTTATTGCGTGCCATCTCTCAAGTAGATTCCTTTAACTTGTAGATCAGTGCAGTACAACATGGACACCAGGAATGCACATTTGCACTTTAAAATCTTATATTAATAATGAATATTAGATGTTAGCACCCTACATTCTGTCACCGAAAGAACAAGATAATTTCTAAAGTATATACCTCTGAGGACAAAATGACTCTGAATATTTCAATCAATTAAATTTAAAGCAATCTTTCATGTTAAAAGTGAAAACAGAGTCGGGTACCTTTCAGATATGAAGTTGGTACATATATTAAGCTAAAGAATATTTAAATTTATGCTGGCAAGTTGATTTTAATTCATGTAATGCTTTCAGAATTCTATCAAGTTGAAAGGAATCAATGTACGTGAAAGTGTACAACCAGAACATTCAATAAGCATTTCTTCCCCACCCCTCCCACCCTCATATCTTGAGATGCTGTGTACTTATTCTACTGTCACTACCATTGCTGGTAACATTCCTCAGAACTACTTTCAGACCTGAGAATCAGTTTATTAGTCACATCAGAAATTTGGTCCTTTGACCTTTAAGCACAGTCTATTTCTGCCCTCAGAGTTTTCAAACACGATCTCTGTCATGGATTAGAATGTAAGATACATCACACAGTATAGCCTAGGGGATATGCATTCATCTTTTTAAGAGCAACCCCTGATCGGCAGAAGTTCATTTGATTTTATTTAGTTGGATCTCTGTGTGTTTGCTTCCTTTCCATATGAATCTCTGTTTGGTTTCCCTGTGTCTATATTGGTGCAGCAACTGGCAAAGAATGTAGCTAGAATAATTCAATACCATCTGGCAAGACCTTCTAGCATTTGGGTTCCCTGCCAAATGACAAACCTCTGACTAAGCCATATGTCAGCTTTACCAGATTAGAATGTTTCCATGTTCCCCCTTCTCACCCAATATTTAACTGGAATGTCGAATTAACCCTCTGCAACTAAATTGAGTACAAGAGAGCTGATGCCTCAGTAAAAACCTCTCCTTGATATACACACAAGAGGAGAAAAGTAGGGAACCGGAGTTTGAGTCTCTTTATGATCAAGGACCGATGTTGAGCCCAGAAAGTCTCCCTTTAAAGCTAAGTGAATGCAGGTAGGAATGGCTCCCGCACAAGGGTCTAATCGTATCTCAAGAGATCGGTTCAGGTGAGCTTTTTATGAGACTAACCATTTCCCAAGGGACCATCCAACCATTCCACCTGTATTTCTTTGAAAGGAGAATTCATTTTAGCCCAGTAAAAATATATGGCTCCTAGTCTTTTTTAGTCCCCTTGGTGCATTTTGTGGAACGCTGGTGGTGCAATAGTGATAATCCCACTCAGAACCCTTCGCACAGCAGAAAGATATAGCAATCTACTGCCATGAATGTTATAGCTTTCGATGCCCTGTAGGACCATCCTACACTGTGAATCAGAATTGATTTGATGGCAACAGGTTTGCTTACATTTGGAACCTTAGAAGGAGATTACTTTATCCAGATTCTTTGGGACTATTTATATCTGTGGATTGTTCCCTCAATCAATCATTTGTCTGACCATTCATTTGTTCATTTATCTCTCACACTGTTTTCTGGGCACTAGGGATACTAAGATGAATAAAATCACGGTACTGTCTTTAAGAAGCGAATTGCATTGGAATAAAAAAAAAAAGCTTTAAGAAGCTAATTGAAATTGGAATTTTAAAAAGCTGCTATGGAATGCAGACAGGTGTGAGCTATAATATATCAATGCTATTAGTGCTCAGATAAGGATTTGAACAGAGAGCTGTGGGGGGCTAGAGGCAGGAACATATTACCCTGTCTGGTAGTTTCTAGAAAGCCTTCATTGAGGAAATGTTGTTTGAATGGTGAGGAACTGGTGTTTCATTCCTAGGAACTCTGCGATTATGATTTCATGAAGCTATAAGAGAGTATGCATATCAGCTCTTGAAGCATGCATACTTATTTTCTGGGGGCTCCCTCCACCTATGAATCTCTGTAGTTATTATATGCATATAGAGGTAGTGACGTACAGTCATGTTTGTTCTCCTCTGATGCCACAAGGGGGATAGAGAATCTAATTTCACATCTGGCCAAGGATGATTTTTATGAGGTAAGAGGTCAGGCATCTTTCTACCAGACATCTTTCTTTATCCTATTCTTATACCAATTGTCCCTACCATGGCACTCCACTTCTCAGCTGGCTCTGCTAATCCATTGCAATAACCACACAGAATTTACAGAAAATATTCACCATTTTGGAGTTTGTTAAAAAAAGTATTTTGTGGGACTTATGAAGATATGGATAGACGAACCATACCAAGTAATTTCACCTCACCACAATATCCCAGAGATCAGAGACTTATTTCTGTGGGTGTACTACAATATCATATGTGGCTGTGGCTAAAGTCCGGAGCATTCCTGGTCTGTCATGCTATAACATACTGGGTCAAAACGTCCAATCTGTGATTCCAAATATCTGACTTTCAACTCCCTGTTGCCCACAGCGCACTCCCAAAAAGCCACATATGCTGAGCTACTGCTCTTCCCACCCTTTAAAATATATCTCCTCTTTCTGATGACAGAGAATTTTAAAGCCATTTCCCTTATGCTCAGAAATTGTCAAGAAATACCTAACACTTAAAATCCCAACATGGAAGACAAAAATAGGAAAGCAATGCTATCAAATTATAAAATATAAATGTGATTTGGAAAATAATAGCTAGGATGGTTAAACATCTTAAAGAATGTAACCGATGACACTTAATTATAAACATAGAAATTGTTGATAGTGTGTGTTTTGTTATGTATATTTTTCACCACAAAAATTTTAAAAGGACTTGCAGAAGTTTTACTCTGAAATAAGCAATATTTCCTTTAAGGGTATCTTTGTGGAAGGTTATATTTATTCCAGTGAGGATAAAATTTTCAAACCACGGTGTGGGTTTGTTTGCAAAGTGAAGAATAGTAAAGTATTCAAATATTTATCACCCACTCAACATCCATAGAACACACACTGTGTGTTGGACACTGAACTACTCCTGGGTGTAGAAAGAAAAAGATCGAGGCCTTTCCCTCCTGGAGCTCATGTAATTTGACAATGGGGATAGTCATTAGCTTTGATGAAAGAGCCCTCAGAATGTAGAAGAGGGTCCTCAATGATTTGTTTATATAGGGACCCCCTCTGACATATTTGAAGTTTGTTTTGGACATATAAATTAGAAGTATCACAATGTTTAAGAAAGCATTTACTATTAAAGTGAAGTATTTCTGTGAATAAAAGACAGTACCCCAAAACCCACTGCCATTTAGTTAATTCCAACTCTTAGTGACCCCTTCGGAGAGAGTAAAACTGCTGCTTTGGGTTTCTGACACTGCGCATGTTTGAATCATCAGTCTTGCAATTAGTAGTCCAATGCTTACCTGATGGTGCCACCAGCCTTCCTTTTTAAAAAATTGTTAATTATGATGAAGGATTATAGGGCATTACATAATTTCTTTTTGAAACTACTTTCCATGTCACAAAAGAATTTAAGTCAGTTTCAATTTTACTTTTCCTCCTTTTATTACCTCTCAGGCCAGTGCTAAGAACTGATGGGTAAGGAATTTAGAGGGTTTTTAAAAAATTTTGCAACTTGAATTTTATTGGTTGTTTTGAGATCAGTACAGAGACATTATGAACAATTTGCATACAATTCTTAATGTAAGTACCCAAATCCAAAAATGGCATGTAGATACAATTCATTTCTAAGTTCCAGTGACTTCTGAGCTTTAAAATTTGGAGGTAATTTAAAAAAAGAGGTTATCAAGTACCATTGTCTTCAAATGCTGATAAGCTGTTAAATCTTAAGTCCCAATAATTCATAATTTAGTGTCACATACACTACACAATCAAATGTTCAACCCATTCATAGCACATAAGAAAGTTATGTGCTATGAAAATTGAACTACCATGACCAAAGGTGTTACAGAATGCATACAGTTCTGACAAGAAAACCATGATGACAGATGCTTTTCAGACACAATTCTACTGGGAAAAAAAACCCCATGGAAATATAATAATAAATGTTCAGATCATACAGATCCATGACAGTGACTATATTACAGGGGCCAGGAGGGGGAGAGCCATATAGAACTAGATTGGGAGCCTGCCATCTGGAGGGTTTTAAAGGCTGTGACTTTTCTCTTTTTGTATCTTAAATTTATTTATTAGTTTTCCCTTTTTATTTGTGGAATGTAACATGTACAAAGAAAAGCATACTATGAGTAGCTGCACAGCCCACTGTATAAACACGGTGACATTATTTCTCTTTTCCCACACACCCTCCAATACCAAGCTTCTATGATGACTGTGACTGTATAATAAGTTTTGAATTAGGGAATGAAAAGGCTCCTAATTTGCTTATTTGTTTAAGACAGTGTTTTGTTTATTCTGGGTTTCTTTCCCTTCTAGATGAAGTTGTTGATTAGTTTTTTTCCTGTTTTTGAAGAATTGTGCTGGGACTTGGATCAGAATTGCATTGCAATTAGAAAGTGCTTTCGATGTTATTGACATTTTCACTGTATTAACTCTTCCTATTTATGAGCATCGGACAATCATCCATTTGTACAAGTCCCTTTGGGCTACCTGTAGAAGTGTTTTATAGTTTTCTTTATATAAGTCTTTTGTTTATCTGGTTAGATTTATTCCTAAGTATTTTAGTGTTTGGGTAGTTATTTTAAACAGTATTGTTCTTTTAATTTTCTTTTTTGGAGTCCTGTTTTTTAATATACAAGGATTTAATTGATTTTTACATGTTGATCTTATAGCCTGCTATGTTGCCCTATTTTTCAATTAGTTCCAGCAATATTTTGAGTCTTTGGGTTTTTTATTTTTATGAACAACAATACATGAATTGTTGTCTTGTACAGTTTAAACTCTTAAGTGACTAGACACTATTTACAAAAACAGTGGGTGTTGGTGATAGGGCAAAACTTTCGATAACATTCATTCACAATGGCAGAGCCACACCTGTATACTTTTATTTATATGTTAAGTATTAAGGTAGCAGGTGGACATTGGGTCTCAACTCAAGTACTCACTCAACGCAAGAACACTTTGTTCTAATAATCCAGCATTCTGTGATGCTCACCTTCCCAAGATCGCTGAAGACAAAATGGGTGCATAAGCAAATTTGGTGAAGAAAGCTGAAGGTTCCCAGCTATCAAAAGATATAGCATCTGGAGTCTTAAAGGCTTAAAGGATAAACCAGTAGCCATCTAGTTGAGAGGCAACAAAGCCCACATGGACGAAGCACACCAGCCCGTGTGATCATGTGGTGTCGATGGGATCAGGTAGCAGTCATCTAAGACCCAGAACAAAATCATACCAATGTGAAGGTGAGAGGGGATCAGAGTGGAGACCCAAAGCCCATCTGTAGACAAGTGGACACTCCTTTACAGAAGGGTCACAAGGAAGAGACAAGTTGGTCAGGGTGCAGTATAGCACTGATGAAAGTATTTAGTTAAAAAAACTCTAATTAATAAATTAATTTAGCAAGATCACAGAAGAAAATATCAATATATTAAATGACTTTCATTTATATATAGCAGCAACAAAACAAGAAAATGAAATTTAAATATATTTATAACATCATCAAGCTTTGAAACATTTAGAAATAAATTTAATGAGACAAGTACATAACAACTACAAGGGAAACCACCAATTCTTTTTAAGAAAAATGAATGTTCTAAATCGAGAAATACACAATGTTAGCAGACTGATAGACTTATAAAATGTATATAGCTATTAGACCTCACTTGATCTAGAGATTTAGCATAATTCAAATCTAATTCTTTGTCAATTGTGTGGGGTTTTTTTTTTTAATTGAGACATAGATTATATGGACAAGTGAGGGTTTGAGGACTCAAGAGCAATAAAGATAGACAATTTTAAAAGAATGTTGTTGTTATTAGGTGCCCTAGAACCAATTTAAACTCAGAGAGACACCATGTACAACAGAAAAAAAAAATACCACCCGATCCTGACCTATCCTCACAATTGTTCTCGTGTGTGAGCCTATTACTGCAACCACTTCATCAATCAATCTTGATGTGGGTCTTGTTCTTTTTCACTGTCCTTCAATTCTACCAAGCATGATGTCCTTCTCAAGGAGCTGATCACTCCTGACAACATGTGCAATGTAAGTAAGAGAAAGTCTCAGCATCCTTGCCCCTAGCCCCCAGGGAGAACTCTGGCATTAATTCTTCAAGACAAGTTGGTTTGTCCTTGTAAGAGTTCATGTTACATTCAACATTCTTCTCCAGCATCACAATTCAAATGCATTGATTCCTCTTGTCTTTGTGTTAGTCTGGGTAGGTTAGGGAAACAAATCCATAGAAACTCATATGTGTATAAGACAGAGTTGTATATAAAGCGTAATTGTACATTAAGAAGCATCTCAACCCAGTCCAGTCCACGTCCATAAGTCTGATATTAGCCCATATGTCCCACACCATCTATAAAGTCCTCTTCAGACTCACGCAACACATGCAATGATGCGAATGCAGGATGATCACTGGCCAGTGGGTAGAAAGCCTTTGGATCAAATGGAGTTGTAAATATCTCAGCGCTGGCAGGGGTCTCTACGTGATTTCTCCAGATTCCAGGGCTGCATCAGAATAGGTCCATGTGGTTTCTCCTCAGGGATGTCTCACAGGAAGTGAACAGAGAGAGAGAAATATCTCACGCCTCCAAGGAGGAAATTAAAGCAATTCCCCAAATTATCCAGAGAAGGCCATGCCCACATAGAGGTCTCATTGGCTGTCTCTGGATTGACAGGGTAGACTCCACCCCTACACTCTTAATTCTCAAATTGACAAATGATTATATAACTTCCACAGTCTTCTCTATTTGATCCAACTTTCACATGCTTATGAGTTCATTGAAAATAACATGGTCAGGGCGGTAGAAGAATTTATTTCAAAGGATGGCATTGAATCTGCAGCTCTGGGAGAGGGACATATCTGATCAGAGCACATGGGAGCAGATGAAGGGGGAGGAGGAGAGAGTAGAGCACATCCTGGTCCACCAGGCCATGAGGATGATGTTCCCAATTAGAGCAGCCAGTCCACAGAGAGGACCA